TAAATTTTGGTCAATGACATGAGACAAAGTATATGTGAACTGCTGTATGAAAAGTGAATTTACTCTGTAAATCTTCACCCAAATCAAAATAAAAATTAAAAAAAAAGAAAAAAAAGAAAAGGAAGACATGGAAAGGTTCACAAGGGGTAAAGACAACAAAAGTATACACATTTACATACATAATACTGCATTATGCATAATAAACATTAATCTACAGGTGGATACATAGGTAGACAGGCTAAATCATTCAGGTATGGGTAGGCAAAAGAGAATATACCCATGACCATATATAAGGTTGACAGATGATATTTCTATATACATGTTCGTATGTGCTGTAAGAATGTCCAAATATATAACAGCTAACAAGGGATAATGTTATGATAACTTCTTGGCCACAGCCAATCACCCTTAGGCACCGAGTAGTTGAACCTGTGGGCTTGGGACCATGGTCACAGGAGACATCAAGGTCAACTGGCATAATATACTACAAAAAACATCATTCTACATCCTACTTTGATGAGTGACTGGGCTCTTAAAAGGCCATCTAGATATGACAATTGGTCTCTCCTCATCCACAGCAAAGAATGAAGAAAGCCAAAGATTCATGGAAATAATTAGTCCTAGGGACTAGTATACCATGCAGTCCTCAGCCTACATGACCATGAGACAAGAAGAACTAGATGGTACCTGGCCACCACTGTCAACCACTTGGAAAGGAGTCAGTGTAGGAGATCTTGGATAGAGTGGGAGAACTGTGGAACAAAACTCAAAATCATAAAAAGAAGACCAGGTTTACTGGTCTGATAGAGCCTGGTGAGACCCCTGAGACTATGGCCCCTAATAACTGAACTCATTCCTGTGGCTTGAACTCATTCTAGCCAAACAACAGACAGACATATAGGGTGAACATTTATATCAGGTAGATATACTCCTTAGAGTGATCAATCATGGGAGAACAGAAGGGCAGTGTTTGCAAAGGGAGAGAGCTTGGGGGATGGGAATGCATAGGAAAGAACACAAGGAAGAGGTAACTACAAGGAGGAAATGGGAAGAGAACTGTTACATTATTCGGAATTGCAGTCAATGCCATGAAATAAAATGTGCATGAACTGCTGTGTGGAAAATAAATTTACTCAGTAAACTTTCACCCAAATCACAATAAAAATGAAAAAGAAAAAAAAAAAAAAAGAATGTCCATCTATATAATAGAACTAACAGGGCAAAGTTAACTTCTTAGCCATAGCTAAACACCTTGAGGGAGTGAGTATCTGGGCCTGTGGACTCAGGACCATGGTCATGGGGAACATGAAGCTCGTCTGGGATAACATACTACACAAAACAGTGTTCTATATCCTACTTAGGGAGCTCTGGTGGTGCAGTGCCTAAGGCATTTGACTGCTAACCACAAGGTTGGTGGTTCAACCCACCAGCAGCTCCATGGAAGGAAGATGGAGCAATCTACTTCCGTAAAGATTTACTGCCTCGCAAACCCAATGGGAGTTGCTATGAGTTGGAATCGACTTGATGGCAGTGAGTTCAGTTTTTTTTTTAATATCCTACTTTGGTGAGTAGTGAGTGCGGTCTTAAAAGCTTGAGAGCAGCCATATAAGATGCTATTTAGTCTCCCCTCGTCTGGAGCAAAGAATGAAGAAAATCAAATACACAAGGAAACCATTAGTGCTAGGACTAGTGGACCATGCAAACCTTAGCCAACATGACCTTGAGACCAGAAGAACTAGATGGTGCTACCACTGCCAACCACTCAGAAAAGGATCACAATAGAAGATCCTGGATAGAGTGGAAGAAAAATGTGAAGTAAAACTCAAAATCATGAAAAAAGACCAGGCTTATTGGTCTGTTAGAGACTGGAGAAACTCTCAAGACTATGGTCTGGAATTAAACTCACTCCTGTGGCTTCCAGGCATACAAGGTGAACAGTTACACCAGGTAGGTACAGTCCTTAGAACAATCAACCATGGGAGACCAGGAGCATAGCATTTGCATAAGGACTATCTCCCTATGCAAATAGGAAAGGACACAAGGAAAGGTAACCACAGGGAGGAAGTGGGAAGAGCTGTTAACGTTATGGGGATTGCAATCAATGTCACGAACCAAAATGTGTATGAACTGCTGAATGGAAAACTAATTTGCTCTGTAAACTTTCACCCAGATCACAATTAAAATAAAAGAAAAAGGTCCAGATTTCATCCATCTCTGCTCTCCCAGAACGACGCCTCTGAACTCCAGGCGCAGCCGGTACTTCTGCTTCCCAGCCTTTGCGAAAGGACCGTAGATTGTCTCTGTTTGGACCTACTGCTCTCCCCTCATTCCACATAGCCTTTGATGTTATTTTTCCATTTTTGCCCAAAAGAAAATGACTAAAATCCTAAAACATACTAATATCACTTTATTCAGAATATAATCAAATATAACACAAGGTTGATGTACACAAACAGCTGTGCATAAAATTATATAAATCTGCTATATTTTCTATAGGAAACCCAGTCATAAATAAGGAAGAGGAACCAAGAAGGTACCTAAATAACTGCAGTGTTTTAAACAAGTGTCTCCACAATCCCCTGTAGTGACAGTGGCCCCAAGTGGGGGTGGTCCTTTTAGCAGGGCAGGAAAAGCAGCAGCTGTGTAGAAGGCATATGTCCTAGACCCCCAATGCTCAGTGGTAGGACTTGTTGAACTCCTGGAGGGCCCAGCGTTTGTTCTCAGTTGCCTGTCTGAGTTGAGTATACTCTTTCACCAGACTGTCAAACTCCTCCCCGAGGACCTCATAAGTGTTCAGTACTTGCCGAGACTTCTCCATGTCCTCCTCTTGTAGATGAACGGCCCCCTCCAAACGATCCCTAAGAACCCAGGCCCAGAAGGAACAGTATTAGGATCTGGCTCCTCAGAAAGTAGGAACAGGAACACGTTGAAATTAATGAGTCTGGAAAGGTGTGGAATCCAGTTCTGAACAGCTATCCCAGGCCCTTGGGAGTCCTCACCTAATAAGACGATGAACTTCTACTTTCTCAGCAGTGTAAGTATCAGATAAAATCTTTAGCTCCTCCATCCTGACAGAAGAAAAAACTGTCAAACTGAAGATCCCTGACAGCAGCAGAGTTAGGAATGGGACATAGTACTTGTCCATGGTCAAGAAACAGGCTAAGCAATGTCAAGATAAACAATGTCACTCTGAATCCCTGAGCAATTTATCTCTCAGTAAACCACCTATTACAAAGGGCTTTAAAATAAAAGACTAAAGAATGCTGAAAGCTTTGGGGTAATCCAAAGACTAATACTTCTGTTTGACACTTACTGAATGCCCACAAGATAGCAGGCATGGTAGACAGGAAAGAAAGATGGGGGTGAGGATTTGGGGGTGGTGTGTGGGCAACAGAATCTCTTAGATCCACAAGTGTCACAGCTCACCTCAGCTTAAGGACCATGGCACTGCACTTGATCTCCAGGTACTGGGCATTGATGCGGTCTAGCTCAGACTGAGTCTTCAGCCGGTGCTCCTGAAGAAGCCTCTGCAGCAGGGCAAGGCACCGGAGGAGCACCTGAGCCCCCAAGGGGCAGGAGGAAGAGGGTGTAAACAGAAAACAGAAGCAGGGCAAGGGATTTCCTGAGCGGTGCAAATTGTTAATGCACTTGGCTCTTAACCAAAAGGTTGGCAGTTTGAGGCCATCCAGAGGCCCCTCAGAAGAAAGGCCTGGTGATTTATTTCCAAAAAACTAGCCAATGAAAATCCTATGGAGCACAGTTCCACTCTGACACACACTGGTCATCATGACTTGGAATCAACTCCATGGCAACTAAGTAATATTTAAAGAGTCTCTGTAAACTGATAAAATGATCCCCCTAACTAAGAAAATGAAGAGAAAGGAGGGCAGATCAGAAATCCTTAGAATCCCCAAGGGTGCCCCTGCTGTCAGGGCAAAGGAGAGGAGAGGCTGTCCGTCTGCCCTGACAGCCTGACAAACCTGGGAGTAGGTGGCACTCTGCTTCTCCAGCAGCACCATCCGCTCCTGCTGCTGCCTCCTGGTGTCCCTGCACTGCTGCTTCTCACTCACCAGGACCTCTGCCAGTTTCCACATCTTTGCTGCTTTTAGGGTCTCACTGTCTGAATCTGGGTAAAGAGAAACAGGACTGGACAGGAAAATCCTAATTGCTACAGCCCTTCTAAAGGCAATTTTCAGTGCTCCTATCCTACATCTAGGAGCCCTGGTGGTGCAGTGGTTTAAGCGCTCAGCTGCCAACCAAAAGGCTGGTGGTTTGAACTCACCAACTGCTCCATGGGAGAAAGATGTGGCAGTCTTTTTCTATAGAGATTATGACCTTGGAAATCCTGTGGAGCAGTTCTACTCTGTGCTATAGGGTCACTATGAATTGGAAGTAACTCGATAACAGGACTGTTTTAAATGCTACATCTAACCCTACAAACTCTGCCTTCCTTTAGGTTTTTCTCTGATGTCCTGTTAAAAATGGTCCCTTTGTGGCTTGGAGGTAGGGGTAAGTGGGGAGTTACTGCCCAAGGGGTGCTGAGTTTATTTGGGATGATGAAAAACTTCTGGAAATAAAGGTGATGGTTGTCAATATGGTAAGTATAATCACTGTCAATGAATTGTATGGTTAGATGGCAAAGTTTTTTTTTTTATTATTATTTTATTGTGATTTGGGAGAAAGTTTACATAGCAAACTAATTTTCCATACAGCAGTTCACATACACTGTCTCATGACATTGACTGCATTTCCCACAATGCAACAGCTCTCCTCCCACTTCCTCCCCACAGCCACCTCCTCTCCCTATGTCCTTTCCTCCCATGCACTCCTGCTGTCTCCCTGTGCATACACAGCCCTTCTTTCTCCCATGATTGTTCTCTCCAAGGAGTGTATCCACCTCAGGTAAATGTTCAGCTCATATGCCTGTCTTTTGTTTGGCTGGAAGCCACAGATGTGGATTCAATTCCAGACCTGAAGGGCAGCTAGGGGCCACAGTCTCAGTGGTTTC